CCGGCGCCCCACCGGGCACGTGAGCGGGCGGCGCAGCGGGGAAACTGAGTCCGGCGGCGCCCCCGGCGCTCCTTGTGGAGAGAAGGCCGGCGTTTGGGTGTGGGCCCTCCGCATCCTCGGGGTGCCCCGGGCTTCGCCGCTCGCCAGCGTCGTGACCTTGCTCTGTCGGTTTCCCTCCTGTGTCGAGTGGACGTGGTCACCGCTGCCGTTCCGAGCGGTGTGGTGCTTGTCGGGCACCGGGGGGGTGGGAGCGTGGGGTGGAGGGCGAGGGCCTCCGTCTGCCTGCGGTGCATACTGGGGCAGGTGGCTTGCCCTCTCTGGACGGCTGTGAGGCAGGTGTGCTGGCGCACTGGAGGCTGAGGGAGGAGTTCCATGCCAGCCAGGACTGTACACAGGATTCAAAAGAGCTGTGACCAAAAACAAGGGCCCTAGAGAATGGCTCAGGTCCTTGGTCCTTAACCTGTAACTCAGTATTGCATTTGGGAGGGTGTGGCACTTGAATCACCGGGACTTCAGGCCTAGCCTGGGCTATCTGGAGAGTTTCAAGGCCCAGCCTGGGCTATCTGGAGAGTTTCAAGGTCCAGCCTGGGCTACCTAAGAAGTTCAAGTTACATGGACCACATTGTGAGAACAGTTGATTTTAGTTTGTTGAGACAGTTTTTGTGTGTCCCTGGCTGTCCTTGAACTCTCTGTGTAGACAAGGCTGGCCTCAGACTCCCCCCTCTTCCCAGCATTAAAGTGTACCCCACTACACCTGACATCATAATTAATTTTGAAAAGGATTTTAAAATAGCCGGTAGTTCAGTTGTAAGCTGCCTGTCATCCCGTCCGTGGGAGGCTGAGACTGGAAGATGGGAATGAAGTTCGAGGCCGTCTTGAGCTACATAGTAGATCTTTGTCTCTCAAAAACCAGGCCTGCAGTTCCATGCCTTTATTGCCAACACTTGGGTGGCACCGGCAGGTGGATCTCTGAGTTCAAGGCCACCCTGGTCTACAGACAGAAACCGTGTCTCAAAAAAAACCCAAACAAGAAAATGAAAAAACACCACCTCCAATGAAACCAAAACAAGCCAACTGAAATTGTTGTGAATGTCTCTGTCACCCGGAGGGTAAATGTCCCGAAGTTTCCTTAGCTAGCATCCTATAGGCCTGTCAGCCTTGGTGGGGTGCTGGAGAGGACACAGGGTCCCCACTGGCTATTATGCTTTGGTCTGTTCCTGTCTCTGGTTATTTGTTTGAGTGATCTTTCCTTTTTCTGGCTATTCTTGTCCCCAGGAACCCTGGGCAGTGTCTGGGGACACTTGTGATTGCTGTGACTGAAAGGGCTTCAGACTTCTGACACTGAGTGGAGGTCAGGAGCGTGGTCCAGAATGAAGGGTGCTCCTGGTGGGGAGGAGAAGCAGCCGAATTTGGTTCCATACACCCACCCATGTAAAAAGCCATAAGTGGTAATCTCAGTGTGGGAGGTCAGAGACCGACAGGTCACTGGGCCCTCTGGATAGCCAGCCTTACCTTGTTCAACCCCATGTCCCAGGGTCAGACGCTGTTTTCTGTTTTTTATTTTTTTCTTTTTCCCCCCGGAGACAGAGTTTCTCTGTGTATCTTTGTAGACCAGAATGGCCTCAAACTCAGAGAGGTCCGTCCCTCCTGCCTCTGCTGGGATTAAAGGCGTGGCTTGTTTCCATTCAAGACAGGGCTGCTGCTGGGAATAAAGGCAAGCCTCACCATCACCCGGTTAGACACTGTTTCTAAAAAATGAGGTGGTATCTGGAGGAAGGACACCTAGGTTGACTGGAGTGTGAACACTGAAACCGATGCATGCATGAGCATGCCAGTAAAGAAGCATACCTGTAATTCCAGCACTCAAGGGGCAGACACGGGAGGATTGCCTTAGATTTGAGTTTCCCCTGGGGTACATAGTGAGCTCTAGTGTTAAAGATGAAACCCTAGCCCAGTGGCTCATCAGTATTGAGGCATCTGCACAGATTATGTGGGTCCCAAGATTGTGTGTGCACCTACTTTTGTGGGGTAAGGGATTATCTGTGGACTCTGCCCCTGGAGCCACTGTCTGAGGTCCCAGCTGCTGCTTCCTGTCTGGGCATTGGCTCTGTCAGGTGAGTTGTATTGCAAGCCCTTCCTGTTGTTTTGATTTGAAACTGGGTCCCCCTCATTCCAGGGCTATCTGTATGCTGGGTGAACACTGCCCACTGGGACCCAGTCCAGGGACCTCACCAGACTCTTCAATGGATTTGAGCCTTGTGTTCAAGCTGAGAAGTTACCACACTGACCTTGCTTGTAAACTTGTTGGGAGGGGGAAGACAAAGACATACTATAGGCCAGGCTAGCTTTACACTCTAGCAATTGTCCCCCTACAGCCTCCCATATGCTGGGGTGACAGCAGGAGGCCTGGCTATAAGTGGGAGGATGAGTCTTACCGGTTCAGTGTTCTGATGATCCCCAAAGTGCATGCACATACTGGTTAGCTGGGTGCCCAGAAAGTTCCAGTCCTACCAAAGACTTGAGCCAAGCATTTATCATAGCGCTTTCTGGCGGGGATTGTGACTCCCGGCAGGTCACCTCTGACCCACATCACCTACCAGCCATCCTGTGAGAGTCCTGCCCTGTATTCCTTGATCCTCATGTGTGGGAGTCAATTCTACATTTTTATACTTGAAACAGGAATTCATGTAGCCCAGGCTGCTCTCAGACTGCGTAGCTGAGGATGGCCTTGAACTCCTGATCCTCCTGCCTCCACCTTCCATGTGTGTGCCACCCATCATTGTCTGTTTATTGTTTTTTTTTATTTACATACCTGAGTGTGTGTGCATGTGCATGCAGTGCCCATGGAGGCCAGAAGAGGGCGTCATATCCTCTAGAGCTGGAGTTACAGGGGATTGTGAGTGGCTCATTTAGGTGCAGGGAACTGACCCTCCATAGCAGTAGCAAGTGCTCTTAAGCAGTGAGGTGTCCCTACCATCCACAGTGTTTTCTGAGAGTGAAGCCTAGCTGGCTTTGAACTACAGCAACTTCCTGCCTCCGTCTCCCACATGCTGGGATCACAGCCCTGTCTCTTATACTTCTGTGAGGAAACTGATAGCCAAAGAAGGGAGGCTGTGCTTGCCACATGCCACCCATCCACAATGGTGTGGATGCCACCTAGAGATCGGACTGTTGGGCAAGCTCTGGGATATACAGCCCGAGATCATGTCCAAGGCTGCCTCAGGTTGGGGGTGGGGTAGGACTTGACGGTGTAGACCTAAAAGTTTTTTTTTTTTTAAGATTTTACTTATTTATTATGTATACAACATTCTGCTTCCATGTATATCTGCACACCAGAAGAGGGCACCAGACCTCATAACTAATGGTTGTGAGCCACCATGTGGTTGCTGGGAATTGAACTCAGGACCTCTGGAAAGAGCAGTCTGTGCTCTTAACCTCTGAACCATCTCTCCAGCCCTAGACCTAAATTTTTTATCTGGTAGAGTCTCAGGAAGTGTAGAGTAGTCCTCCATCCTTCTCACAGTAGGCGCCCATGCAGGGTCTGCCAGGGAGTCAGCCAGGACCTTCATGTGTGCTCTGACACCTGTTCATCTTGCAGGTGGACACGGGCTGTGGTTTGGGGCCTGACAGGGCTTGTGTGGGGCTCTGAGGTGACACCCCTGACTGTGTGGGGCTGACCGTTTTTCTTCAACTTATTTGTCCTGGACAGGGGCATAGGTAAGGAACATTAATGAACTCTGCTATGCTGGGTTTGCATTTATTTTATTTTGAGACAGGATCTTACTATGTAGCACTGGCTGGTCTGGAATTTGCTATGTAGGCTGAAGGACTTTTTCCATCTTCTTCCCTTGAGATAGGGTACTCCTGGCACCAGGGTTAACCACATACATGACCATGACCATCCATTAGGTGGGTGCTGGGAATCCAAACTCAGAACCTTCTACTTGTTCAGCAGCTGCTATTATCCACTCAGTGCCCCCTAGGTTTGGGTTTTGATCTGAGGTGAAGGGATGAGGAGCCGTGACAATACGCACCCATTGTGTTAGTGCTGGTGAGCTGGGTCTGGTGATGCATGCAGTGTTAACACTGCGGAGAGTAGTTGAGGCCAGGGGTAGTGAATCTGAGGCTGCATAGCCACGCTGTGTCTCAGAAAGAAAGCGGGTAGTAAGAGGGAATGTGGAGACAGCACTGAGGATGTTGGGCAGCTACTCTGACAGCTCTCACTGTTCTGGGAGAATAGGCCTTTGAGAGCCTTGTCCCTCAGCCAGAGCCTTCCTGAACCCTCCATGCCTGGGCTGTGAGAAGTGGGGGGGTTGCTCAGGACTGCAGAGGGAGATCAGTGGCTATCAGGTACTGGACACCCCCAGGGGAGGGAATTATGACCTAAAGCATCATTGATTCACAGCTGGGTGGGAAAGGGGATTGCTTGTTGGGGCCATGTGAACCATGAGAAAAAGACCCAACATGGCAGTCAGCTATCACTGCAGGAACTGCAGCAGCTGGCCAGCAGATCTGTGTCGTCACAGAGCTGGCATGCCAGGTCCTCTTCATCTTCTAGTCCAGGCATACTGCAACATAGGGGACAGATGGGGGGGGGGCATCCTGGTCTCCACCTACTCCATACCTGGAGCTCCCTGGTCACAGCTCCCGAGGGAGGATGGAAAGATGGCTCCACCTGAGGGGAGAACCACATGTGCTCCCTCTCGCAGAAGCCACATCAGTCTGCATCCCACCAGTGAACTCCAGAGAGCCCTGTCTCCACCCCAGCCCTGGGTTACAGTGCATCACCCTGCCTAGCTGTTTACGTGGGTGCTAGGGATTTGAGCTCAGGTCCTTCTGATTGTGGAGCAGCAAGCACTCACTGTGCCGTTTTCCAGCCCCAGTGTTCACACTGTGTGCATGTGTGTATCGCTCACATGGACGTCAAGAGGACAGTTTAGAGTCAGGCCTCTTTCCTATGTGTGGGACCCAGGGATGAAATTAGTTTGCCAGTTTGGTGACAAGCTCCCTTATTCATGAAGCTGTCTTGCTGGTCCCTATTTTTATTAATTTGTTTTTGTATTTTGTAGTTTTTGGTTTTTCAAGACAGGGTTTCTCTTTGTATCCCTGGCTGTCCTGAAACTCACTCTGTAGACCAGGCTGGCCTCAAACTCAGAGATATGCCTGCCTCTGCCTCCCAGCTGATGGGATTAAAGATGTGTCCTACCACCTCATTTGTTTCTTGAGTCTTACCACAGCCCAGGATAGCTTAGAACTTGATGTTCTCTGGCTTCAGCCTCCAGAGTGCTGGGATGAGAAATGGCTTCACTGCTTGGCAGCCAGACGTGGAGTGGATGTGTGGAGACCAGGCTCCGCTTTGGGACAAGCTGGAGGTCCTGCTTGGCCTCCGACTTCTGGGGTACACAGCCCACTACCATTGTTTGGTTCCTGACTTGTGTCGCTAGTGGCCCATTTTTCCTTGCAGTCAGTCTCTAAACCTGGGTCTGAGCCGGCTGTGTTAACAGCCATCTCTCCCCTAGTGCTGGTGGAAGCATAGAGAGTCTTCTCCAGGTGAGGGGACAGAGCATGCCCTTGGACCCTTGGAGTCCCAGAACCTGGGTAGCTCCTTCTGAAAGGGCAGCTTTTGCAGACCTACCCCATCCCTGGCCTCACACAGTGGTCCCCTGTGGCGGGGATGGTCTCAGAGGTCTTCATATTGTTTTGGGAATAGGGTCCCAGGCTTTGTACATGCTAGGCAAGAACTTGGGACTGAGTGGTATCCTCTGACCTATGGAATTTAAATGGGTGTGTATGTCTGTGTCCATGTCCATGTCCATCAGAGGATGTCAGGTCCCTGGGGCTGGAGATCCAGATGCTATGGATGCTGGGAACTGAGCTCTGTCTGCATCCTCTTCCCCACCCCGTATTTATTTGGTTTTCTTGAGACAGGGTCTCCCTGTATGGCTATGGCTGACCTCAAATTCATGGAGACCCACCCGTTTCTGCCTCCCCAGTTCTGGGAATAAAAGTGTGTGCCATCACATTCAATCCCATTTTCCAACAACATGCTCCTGCCTCAGCCACCAGTATCACAGGCTTGTGGCTCCAGCCTTAAATCTTTCCCTTTTGTTTTCATCTGACTCAGGACCCACTCTGGCTTATTTTAACCTGGTCACCTCTATAATGACCCTGTCTCCAAAGGCAGTAATACTTGGGCTTGGAGGTTCAGGGGGTCTCCGTGTACAGGCAGGGGGGACAATCTGTCTGTGCGTTTTGTGGATGTGGATGCCACTTGGGAACAGTCCCCACAGAGCTGTCTTCTTTATGAGTGTTAGCTTGAGATTGACCCTGCCCCTCTCAGGTCTTGGTCTGAGGCTGCCTTCTAGAATGTTCTTCCAGGTGCTGTTTGATCACTGGTCAGGGGCTGAAAGTGTGACTAAGTGCCAGTCATTGTGGGGCAGCCAGCACACATGTCCTCAGGCCAGGTGTCTGGTCCAGCAGGGCCAGGTGTGCGCATGGGGAGGGACAGGATAGCTAGCCCTGCCTGTGTGGTCCTGGTCAGTGGAGAGGACATACAGTATTGAGAAGCCATGGGTGCCAGGCAAACATGGCCAGATACGGTGTCTCAGGTCTGACCTGGCAAGGGCAGGAGCCACCCAGCCTGGTGTCAGGGGCAGACACAGGACTCCTAGCCATGAGGGACACCTGGGGAGGCCACAGAGGGCTGTGTCCCACATTGCCTCCTCCATTCCAGGATCTAGGCCCTCCTCTCTTAACCTACCACCTATGAAGACCTGCTGGCACCTCCTCTAGGTTCAGAGGAAGAAACTGAGGCTCGGGATACTGAGCTGGTCTCTTGGAGGTCCCAAAGTGCTGTCAGTCTGGGTCTATGCTGATGGTTCATGGCATCAGGCACAAGTGTGGGCCCTGCTCTGGCTGAGGACAGTCTTTGACTGCACAGTGGCTGAGGCTTGCCCTGGTCCCTTTGCTTGTATCCTCTGTCATATGGTGTCTGTTGTGGTGCCAGGGTCCAAAGACCCTTCCTCTTTGAGGGCTCCTGTCCATGCTCATGACTGACCATGCTCATGGCTCCCTGCAGGGACATGACCTCAGAACCATGCCCCAGGGGAACTGAGCTCATTGCTGCCTTCAGAGATTGCCTGAGCTGAGGTAGCTCCCAGGTGATCAGGAATGCCCCATCCAGCTGTCTCTCTGGAGTCCAGAGATGTCCTAGTGTCACCATGCAGCATCACCAGGTGTCTTGGGGAACAGGGCTAGTGAGCTGAACCATCTGCCAAGCTCTGGGTGTGGGGGCATCAAGGAGCTAGACACCTCAAAACCTTGGGGTCCCAGAAAACAGCCACTGTCGTCACCTGGTCTTGGGGGAGGCTGCCCTGATGGCTGGCATGCTGCAACAGGGTAAACTGAGGAAAGAGTGCCTGGAGGCCACTCTTGGTTCATTGTGTGCCCTCCATCCCTAGCACCATGTCCTGTGAGACAGTCATGTCTGTGTGGCAGACAGGTGTGTAGCCATGCTGCTCCCACCTGTCACAGGTGGATAGAAAGCTCTGTCTAGGGCCTTGATACTAGGACTGGCTGGTGCTCTTGGACCAGTTCTGGGACCCATGAGTCAAGGGCAGGTCTCAATCCCTGGTTCTGCATCCTACTCTTTGGCTGTTCCCACAGATCCTGAGCCAGCTGTGTCACCTCAGCAGCCTCGACATGGACAACAGAAAGCGCCTGGCCTACGCCATCATCCAGTTTCTGCACGGCCAGCTACGGAATGGTGGGCTTTCTCCTGATGCCCAGGAGAGCCTAGAGGGTAGGTATGGTTGCTGCCCTGCCAGCCTTTGTCCGGTCCCAGGACACCCTAGCCAGTCAACCACACACGCAGGAGGCAGCCAACAGGCATGCCTGGCCTGGTCGTCTGTCCCCTTCCTTGGCTTATGAGGGGAGTGGCAGGTGCCCAGCTCCCCACTGGAACCCTGGGGTCCCTTGCTGCTGCTCATGGCTGTAAGCTGAACCGTCATCTCCTTGCTGGCAGCCAAGGTGCAGCTCCGGTCTCCAGAGAGACCCTGGTGTGTCTGTCCTTACAGTGCCTTCCGGATGCCAGGATCTAACCTGGCCTGCCTACCCTTCCGCTCTGCAAGGACAGTTGCTCCTGGGGCAGCCTAGTTGCTAGTGGCCTCTTGTGCCTTCTTCATTGTGTGCCACTATTCCTGGGGAGATGTGACAAATGTCTGTTCGTCTCATATAAGAGACTGATGATAAACCAAACTACAGACGCCACCAAAACCCAGCTTGTAAGCAGTGAATCTGGTGGAGTCACAGGTGCAGAAATGACTCAGAGAGAGCTGTGTCAACAGAGCCCACCCCAGCATAGGTGTCAGCTCCCAAGCTCTGATCTGGAGTATAGCACACAGCCTGCAGGAGGCCAGGCATGCCTGAAATTATCCTTTCCCGAGGTGCCAGTGCTTCAAGGCTCTGAGCAGCTCTTCCTGCCTCTGTGTGCTTGACTTAGCGTGCTACATCTGGTCTGCTCTAGAGGTTCTAGAAGCCCAAGCTGTTCATTTCCTGTCTCAGCCAGCTCCCTGGCAGTATGAAGAGGTAGTCAAAGCTGGGGCCAGGCCCTTAGGGCCATCATGGCAATTTGCCCCAGGAGTAGCAGATCCATAGCATGGATACCACCCTGTTCACAGAGAATAGGTGCTGGGGACAGCCCTTGTGCTGATGTCTCAGGTCAGGCCAAGCCTCAGCATTGTGACCCCACAGAGAGCATGAGGTCACCCACCTCAGGCCTCCTGTGTGTGCCTCCTACTGTCAGGCCGACTGAAGGTTACTGAGAAGATAGATAGATTCAGGTGCCTGGGGCCTTGAAGTTGAAGACACTAGTGCTGGGCTGGGCTCATAAGGTAGAGAATACAACCTAGTTTGTCTGAAGTCCCAGGTTCAAACCAGGTGTGGTGGTACACACCTTTTCCCAGGGGTAGAGGCAGGAGGGCTCTAGGACATACTTGGCTATGTAGAGTTTGAGGGCATCCTGAGCTACATGAGACCCTATCTCAAGAAAAAAGGAAAATGGCAGAGCTTCCTGTGCCTGGGAACCCTGCACTCTACGGAGGCCAGCTCATCTTCCCTCCTGTGCAGTTGCCATCCAGTGTCTGGAGACAGCCTTTGGGGTGACAGTGGAGGACAGTGACCTAGCTCTGCCACAGACACTGCCAGAGATATTTGAAGCCGCTGCTACCAGCAAGGTGAGTCTGGGCTTTCCTAGACTGCATCACGATGGCAATGTGTGTGGGTGTTTGGTAATTTACCTGGTCACCCAGCCACGTGAACTGGGTGGCATCCTGCAAGTGCAGGTTTGGCTGGATGCACTGGGATTGTTTTGCCCAGCAGGAGATGCCACAGGACCCAAGGGGCTCTGACAGGACGCCACCTTCTGAGGAGGACTCCGCTGAGGCAGAGCGCCTCAAAACTGAAGGTGAGGGAGACAGCTGTCCCCATGGGGGCCTCTACAAGGTGCCAGAGGGAAAGGTCAGCGAGGTGGTCAGTGGGGAGGGGCAGGGAGGTGCTTCTAAAAGTGCATCTGTGGGGGGCTGGAGAGATGATGCAACAGTTAAAAACTGTTCTTGCAGGAGCCTAAGATTGGTTCAGTACCCTTGTCAAGCAGCTAGCTCACAGCTGGTTCCATGCCTAGCTCTGGGGGATTCAGTGCCCTCTTGTGGCCTCTGTGGGCACTGCACCCACATATCCATATATGCATACTTCATGCAGAATAAAATAAACATTCATTCTAGCATTCAAGAGGCATCTCAATCTTTATGAGTTCAAGATGAGCCCAGTCTTCATGGTGCATTCCAGGCCAGCCAGGATTCCATTGCAAGACCCTCAAAAACAAATCAATTTTTAAAAAAAAGATACTAAAAAATAATGAGGCGGGCAGTGGTGGCGCATGCCTTTAATCTCAGGCTCTGGAGACAAGAGTCAGGTGGATCTCTGTGAGATCAAGGCCAGTGTGGTCTACAGAGCAAGACTCTGTCTCAAAACACCACAGGGGGAAAATAAAGCTTAATGCCCTGTGTGAACACTGACTTTAAGGAAAACCCCAAAAAGAGACAAGCTCAGGCAGATCATAGCCCCTGTATTGCAATCCATCTGTGACTCCTAGGAGGTGGGTGATCCTTTATGTCCCTGGCTCTGCATGGGAAACCCTGCTGGGAAATGAACCTGTGCAGGCTGGATTCTTGTTTTTGTCACCCAGACACTGCAGTGGGCCTGCCATGTCCCCAGCACTGCCATACCCTTAGAGGTGTACAGCAGAGCACATGTGAAGCTGGCTTCCATCCCAGCACCACACGCCCCAGCCGTGGTCTCACACCTGCACTGGGGAGGTAGAGGAAGGAGGGGCAGGAGTTGGTTGTGTCCTAAGTTTGAAGCCAGCCTGTGATACACAACCCTTTATCTGAAAGAAGTCCCAGTGTCACCAGGGTGTTGGCTCTCCCTTTTGGAATCTTAGCACAGAGAAGCTAGGGATTGATGGTACCATGGGCCAGCCTGCGGCAGCATGGACCAGCCTAGGCTCATCTCTTGCCCGGCAGGTAATGAGCAGATGAAGCTAGAGAACTTTGAGGCAGCTGTACATCTCTATGGCAAGGCCATTGAGCTCAACCCCTCCAATGCCGTCTACTTTTGTAACAGGTACTGGTCTGGCTGGGAGGGGCATGGTGGCAGCCGTGGGGGACATTGGTGTGGACTGTGCATGTTGAATGGTGGCTCCAAGTGAAGAGCAGGGTGGGGGCGTCAGTGGTCTCTTAAGGTGTGGGAAAAGTCCGTACAGTTGTCATTTGAGGTCACATGATTCTCACAAAGGACCCTGACTAGGTGACGACTGCAGCCCTGTGCCAGACAGCTGGAGACGAGCATGCTTGCCCTCACCCATGCTGTTATTTCCCTTTTTGTTTCTTTATTATCTGAGGCGGTTTCGAATAGCCCTATGTACCTGCCAAGGCCTGTCGTAGGCTTTGGAGTTCCAGTGGTCCCAGTGGGGTGGGGTATAGTGCCTACCATCCTGCACAGATCAGCTCCTAAAGAGGCCTTTGTCTTCTACTAACTGTTCCCTCTCTTCAGAGCTGCGGCCTACAGCAAGCTGGGGAACTACGTGGGGGCTGTGCAGGACTGTGAACGTGCCATTGGCATCGACCCAGGCTATAGCAAAGCCTATGGCCGCATGGGGTGAGTGCAGCCGGCAGTTGTCAGGACCTGCTCCTCACAGCTGCCTTGATTTGCTAGAGCAGTTGCAGCTCCAGAGAGACTCGATGCCTGTGCTGTGTGCTCATCACCAAGGCTGTAGGGATGCAGCTGACAGGCAGGTGCCTGGGAGCATCTGTCCAGGCCAGCCCTCCCCAGTGAGCAAGATGTGTGTTCCTGTCCCTGGCCTTTTTTAATTTCAGCTTTTAATTTTATTTACATTGGCTTTTTGAGACAGAGTTTCTCTGAGTGGCTCTGGCTGTCCTGGAACTCACTCTGTAGACCAGGCTGGCTTTGAACTCAGAGATCCTCCTGCCTCTGCCTCCTTAGTGCTGGGATTAGAGGTGTGCATCACCACTGCCCCATCCCTTTGTTCTTTTGGGAGATGAATCTCAGATTCTCCAGGTCCCCTCAGTAGTAGTCTCAGATGTGGGATAGCGCTTTTTAATGGAGAGTGGGTAACCTTTGTAACCCAGGAAGGCCACTGGTGTCAGCACCTGGTGACAGGAACACACATAATCTCCCACCCCTCCTTGGGCTCCTCAGACTGTGGAGCCCTTCCCCGTGTGTATGGGTCTCTGTCCTCATGTGGCTTACCTGGCACGCTCTTGTCGCAGCCTTGCACTCTCCAGCCTGAATAAGCATGCCGAAGCCGTGGCTTACTACAAGAAAGCCCTGGAGCTGGACCCTGAGAATGACACTTATAAGTCCAACCTCAAGATCGCAGAGCTGAAACTGCGGGAGGCACCAAGTCCCGTGAGCCTATCCCACAGAGGGGTGGCAGGAGGCCATGCTGGAGCCCCTGGGAAGGCAGGGGATGGCTTTCTGAGGCACAGGGCAGAGCAGGCCACATTGTCCATGTGGACACAAAGGGACTGGGGACATGCAGCAGGGACCCTCTATGGTCTATGTAATGGGCACAGACAAGGTGGGTGGGGTACAGGCTGTCCGGGGGTTCACAGTGACAGGCAGGCTTGTTGGGGGCTCCTGGCAGGACCCTCCCTGAATGGTGTAGCGCCTCCGAGACCCTGAGGGCTGCGGCTAGTCGTCTTTTCCCCAGAGTGGCCAGCCTGGCTCCAGACACCACTAACCGATGCTTCTCCTTCAGACGGGAGGCGTGGGCAGTTTGGACATCGCCGGCCTGCTGAACAACCCACACTTCATCACTATGGTAGGCAAAAATCTTCAGCCACCTTGCCACCCAGGCCAGGGGTCCTGCCCCAAGCCTACCTCCTGGTTAGGAATCCAAGGGGAACATCCAGTACCCTCAGGGAAACAGCTCCAGGTACCTCACTGTAGGGACAACAAGCCTATGGTGTTACATGCCTGCTGGCTGCTGGGATCCCTGTAAGGCCACCTCCCTTCATGGCCATCCCAGGCCTTTCACCATGTCTGCACTGTAGGCACGGCAGGCTCAGCCAGCAGGGATTGGTTGAATAATGTCTTTGCTGAATGTGTCACTTCTGGGGTAGGACTGCCATAGACCACTCTGACTCTGGGCTGTGCCCTACCCTCCTGCCAGCCACACTTTGTGACTAAAGCTTTGTTTGCTCAGTCTAGGGGTCTCCAGAGGGCAAACATGGCTATTTGGGGTTGAGCAGTGGTTTTGACCCTGAAAGACTCAACTCTACTGGGCATGATGGTGCATCCCTAAGAGCCAAGCAGTGGGTTGCTGAGACAGGAGGATGGAAAAAAAGTTCCAGAGCAGTCCTAAATTATATATATATATACCCTGACACTGTCATGGCTCTGTGGTGACCTGGGCTGCATGAGGACTAGCACTGCAAATAAGGAACTCATGTCAGTGGGAGCCAATAGGAGGGAGCCAGCACAGCCACCAGGAGGTGTGTGCTTTAGGGGGGTCAGTGTGGCCAAGGCTCAGCCTCTCCTGATCTGTCTGCCTTTCCTCTTCAGGCTTCCAGCTTAATGAACAGTCCCCAACTGCAGCAGCTGTGAGTAACACTGAATACAAGGGACAGTAGTCTTCTTGCTTTTCTAATTTTTATTGTATGTGTATTGCCTGCATGTATTTCTGTTCACATGTGTGTGAGGCCCAATAAAGCCAGAACAGGGTGTCGGATGTCCAGGAACTGAAGTTATAGATGGTAGTGAGCTGTCATGCAGGTGCTCAGACAGAACCCAGGTCTTTTATGAGCAGCCAGTGTTCCAACCGTGAACCATCTCTCCATCCCTTATTATTGTTTTTTGATTTGCAAGACATGGTTTCTCTGTGGCTTTGGAGCCTATCCTGGGACTCACTCTTGTAGACCATGCTGGTCTCGAACTCACAGAGATCCACCTGGCTCTGCCTCCTGAGTGCTGGGATTAAAGGCGTGCGCCACCAATGCCCAGCTCAACATTTACCTTTTGAGGCTGGGTCCCATGAGCAGCTCCAACTGTCCTGGAATTTCTCTCTCTCTCTCTCCCTCTCTCTCTCTCTCTCTCTTTCTTTCTTTCTCCTGTAACTCTTGATGTAGACCGAATGACCTTGAACTCATGGTGCTTGATGAAGTGTGACGTGTTGCCGAGAGTTGATCTTTAACCAGGAAACCGGCTGGCATCATACACTATTGCGTTGTCATGCACCTGCTCTTTAAATTCTATTTAAAGAGCTTTCCATCCCCGTGAGCCATCACCCCGTTCCCTCCCCAAAGCTCAGCACCCACAAATTTACCTCCCATCTCTATGTTGGCCTTTTGTGGACATTTCCCACCATAGAGTCTTTTTTTTTAAAAGGTATATATGTACAGTATTCTGTCTGCCTACATGCCTGCAGGCCAGAAGAGGGCACCAGATCTCATAACGGAAGGTTGTGAGTCACCACATGGTCGCTGGGAATTGAACTCAGAACCTCTGGAAGCACAGTCAGTGCTTTTAACCCCTCAGCCATCTCTCTAACCCCTCCCATCATAGAGTCTTATTTGGGCCTTTCTGGTCTGGCTCTGGAATTAACATAGAGTCCTTGGGGTTCCTTTGTGCTGTGGTGTGTGCCAGAGCCTCCTATTGGGGCTGGGTGATAACTGAGCGTGTCACAAGCCATTTGTTCTGACCACTGTCAGGTGTGCTGCTGTGAGCACACCAAGTCGGAGCCCAGAGTCAGCTCTGTCTTGCTGAGGAATGGCAGGGGCTGATTTTGTACTCCAACTCCACAGGACTTTTTCACCCTTGTCACTGTGTGTGTTTCTGCTGCTGACTTGTTCTCCAGAGGGTGTCTAAGGTCTATTGCACTTCCTGTCATCTCCCTACACTGTCAGCAATGACAAACATTTGACTCAGCTTAGAGTCTGAGAGGAAGGGGACATGGGAACTGCCCTCTCACCTGACCAGGAGTTGTCTGCGGGTCCTGGGAGACAGAGGGCAGTGGCTGCCAAGGCCGTGTGCTCAGTCCTTTCTTCTGCAGGATGTCAGGCATGATCTCTGGTGGCCATAACCCCTTGGGTACCCCAGGCAGCAGTTCATCACAGAGTGACTTGGCCAGCCTCATCCAGGCGTGAGTGTTGCTGCAGGTTGTGGTGGGGTTGGGGGCAACTGGCATCCCAGGCGTGAGCAAGGGGAATAGCAGGAAGGGGGCGGGGGGCTGGCATGCACATCCCAGAGGTGAGCAGGTGGAGGGAGGCATGAGGAGGGGTCACAGCAGGAGGAGAGGGCACAGTCAGTGTCCTGGGCACCCACAGGGGCCAGCAGTTTGCACAGCAGATGCAGCAGCAGAACCCGGAGTTCGTGGAGCAGATCCGGAGCCAGGTGGTGCGCAGCCGGACACCCAGTGCCAGCCATGAGGAGCAGCAAGAGTGACGGTAAAGCCGCCGGTGCTGCCTGGGCCGACTATGGGGCAGTCCTGTCCTTGCTTGTCACTACCCATGAGAAGTCCATTTCCTGTCTCCATGGCATGGAGTGTATGTGTCCAGAGCTGCCACTGACACCTGTATAGAATCTAACTTCTGCCTTTTCGTCATTTTTTTTATCAAAGTAGTGCAGATGAACCTAGGGCCTTGTTCTCTGCAAGGGGCTACACCCTACCACGCCCTCAACCCCCTTACTGGGGGGTTCTGGGCAGGCTACACCCTGACCATGTCCCCAGCCCCCTTTTTACTCCTTTATCCATGGCGTTTGTGTATGCCTTAGGCATACACATAGCCAACCTCAGGTGCTGGCCCGGACCCCAAACTTTAGGGCTATCACTGGCCTGGGTTTCATTAAGTTCTCCAAGATCCCTACATGGCTGGCAAGTTCCCAGCTCCACCCCTGGGCTTGCAGGCACAAGCCAAAGTGCTTGACTGAAGGCATGGCTTCTGGGGACTGAAGGCAGGGCCCCAGATGTCGAAGTCAGCGCTTCACAGGCTGAGCATCCACCAGTCCCCGTGTTCATGTTTGGCTTTGGTTCAAGAGTGTTGGGTGTCAGGTGTGTGTCTCCTCAGCCACTGATGGTTTCTCGGAAGCTACAGTACCCCTGGGTGTCCTGTCTGTCCTCCCTCACTGGGCTCTAGTCTGGTCATGGCTCTCACTGTCCTGGCTTCTGTTCACAGCTCATCTGTGTGGTGATCCCATCGATCTTTGGCCTCCTGGTGTTTTAGCCTTTTCTCCGTCGGGCTGCCCAAGAAAGAGACTGGACCTGCATGTTAAGACGGACTCATCCGCTGTTTCTCTTCACCCCCACTTCCATGTTTGTATTCGTGCTGGCCCCACCCCTTCCTGGAAGAGAGTCAGCCAGACAGCTACGCACCAGCACCCATTCCTCCAGCACCTAGGGAAGCTGAGGGGTGGGGGACACAGGGATCCACGGGGCATAGCCTGGGTCTTTGGGTCTCAAGCCCCACCCCGCCTGGTTAAAGAGACTTGAATAGTTGACTCTCAGCCCCCTGGTAAGCATCCACTGCCAGCCCCAGCTGGGTGCCAGCGTTTTGCGCCCACACTTGGGTTGCTGGTCCTAGCAAGTGCCCCTGCCTGCCTTATCCCAGTGGCCTATGCCACACAGGAGAGGCCTGTGACTTGTGCCCCACTTGTGGACGTCCGTGTCTCCTTCCCCACCTTCCCTCCCGTCTCCACAGCCATCAGCCAGTCCTAATTTTGTGTGCAGTCCGGCTCCATTCTCAGCGTGGGCAGAAGACGTGGCCACCCTGGCCCATACTTGCCCTTCTGTCTTCAATTTCATGGGAATTCGACGTCTGCGGTTGGCAGGCAGTTTTGGAGTATTGGCCCACAGGCCATGTTCTCAGCCCCGAAACAGCCACCAGAACCATTTTTGATGAGGAGTGGCTCTGTCCAGTGAGTGAGGCCATGTGGGTATCCCCACACCCACTCTCAGCACTTGGAGATGGTGGGGAGGCGAGATGACGGGACAGCTGACCCAGCAGTGGGTCATGATGGCGTCAGACTGTGTGGCAGGTAGTGTCAGCCTGGTGTGTTATAGGTAGCCAGTAGGAAGATGGGCCCCTTGGCCAGTGCCGTCCGCTTACAGGTGGCAGCAACGCCCACCTGGGCACAGACCACCTGGGTAATAAAGAGACAAGGATGACACTTGGCCTGTGGTATCAGTCCCATTGACCTGATGACTAACATACTATAGCTTGGAGGGCCAGTCTGTCCTGGCACACAGGAGACAACAGCAAGGCCCTTCAGATATGGTTCCCATGGGGACCTCTGGGTTAGAGCTGGGCACAGGCTACTGGGTTAGAGCTGGGCACAGGCTACAAACTTGTGGGGACATGTCCTGTGTCCATGGGAAATGGGTTCCTATCTCTGACCTGTGGGTCTGACCATGTGGTCAGCAAGCTACCCTGTCCTTTCCCCTCCTGTTAGCTTCTATAGGTAACAGCAAACAAAATCATGTTGGGGAGGTGGTGGGAAGCAGTTGGAGGCTCGCAGCCCACAGACCCATGACTTTGGGGTCACAGGCTTAGTGGAGCATGTGGTATCTGGGAACCCAGAAAACAGCCTTGACCTATTGTGTAGTCTTCAGGGTGAGTAATCCCTGAGCCTGACTAAATCATCCTCTGTGTTGGGGGCCACCTTCCTTGGTTGCCTTCCTTGTCTTTGGGCTACAACGGTGAGATTGGAAGGAGACTTGCCGGTGACGGTGGACATCCCAGAGGTTGACTGTACTGACTTCCACCTGTGCCTGTCAGCATACCCAGCCATCCATTCTAATTCCTGATCTGAGTCAGCATGCATAACTTGGCTGTGCATGGTGGCACACCTTTAATCTAGTCAATTCTCTCCTGTTGTGTGGGACCCCATGATGGAACCAGACTGTCATGGCTGGCCCAGTTTTGAGGACTTCCACCCACATATGTAAAGATCCCCATTTTGGAGGGGCAAAACTAGAGTATGCTCAAGTATAATAAGCTTTGTGTTCTTGGGTGGTGGTGGTGTAGGCCTTTAATTCTACCACTTGGGAGGCAGAGGCCGGCAGATCTGAGCTTGAGGTTATCCTGGTCTACAGAGTGAGTTCCAGGACAGCCAGAATACAGAGAAACCCCATCTCAGAAAACAAAACCAAGGCATGTGTCCAGAAAGTAGCCCAGTGTCTTAAGGCTTCCCAGGTGATGGTCTACCCAGCATCTTGTCTCTTGCAAGAGTGATCCACAGACTCCATGCCCATTGTTGTTTCTTCTCTCTGAGAATGCTGTCAATCTACAGAGAGCCTCGCATGCAGCAATCCTGCTTCAGCCTCCAGAGTGCTGTGTCACCAAGCCCAGCTGAAATTGTTTTGTAACTACAAGAAGGCTGTAGAATGGGGCAGGGGCTACCAAGCATGTTACCCTGAGGAGGCAGGAGAATCAGGAGTTAAAAGCCAAAGACAGACAGCAATGTGTCAGGAAGGATGGGCTTGCACAGCTGTGGGTTCTACATGTGCCTGGTGTCTGCAATTACATGATAGCCCTCTCAGCTGACACTTGGAGGTTCCCTGTAGTGGCTTCCCTGTCCTAGAATTTGGCTGCCTTGGGAACACAAATGGTTATGGACTCTGGGCCATGTCTGTGGGTGTGTGCCTGTTTGACACTGAGTGTCCCCTCCTGGCTTAGAGTGGGTGTAGTCCAGAGAGACTGCAGGGCCCCATACACAGAAAACTACTTTAACCTGAACTCACTGCACCTGGCTCATCAGTGTGTTGTAAGCCATTCCTAGGTTTGCTATGCTTATTTTGAGACACGGTTTCTCTTTGTTGTCCTGAAGTTCACTCTTTAAACCAGGTTGGCCTCGGACTCGAGATCCTCCTGCCTCCTGCCTCCTGCCTCTGCCTCCAGAGTGCTGGGATTGAAGTAGTGCTTCATCACTGACCAGCAATGGTTTGGGCTTTTTTTTTTTTTTCTTCCTTAAAGGTTTTATTTATTGTGTATACAACATTATGCTTCCATGTATATCTGCACACCAGAAGAGGGCGCCAGATCACATTACAGATGGTTGTGAGCCACCATGTGGTTGCTGAGAATTGAACTCAGGACCTCTGGAAGAGCAGTTAGAGCTCTTAACCTCTGAGCCATCTCTCCACCCTTGGTTTGGGCTTTTAGTATCAGGGCAGGAAATAATCCAGTGGTAGGAGTACTAGCTACTTGTCCAGAGGGCTCAGGTTCTGTTCGAGCACCCACGCTGTGATTCACAACAGTAATTCTAGTTCCAGAGGGTGCGACACCCACTCCTGGTCTCCTGTGGCACTGCACATGGTGCACAGACACATGCTGGCAAAACACTGGTACACATAAATTGAATCCAAGCCATGGGAGGCAGAGGCATGAAGATCTCTTGAGTTTGGGGCCAACCTGGCCTACAGAGAGAGTTCCAGGACAGCCAGGACTGTGTTAATGGGAAAGGAGACTGGAAGTTGTGTGCTTCCTTGTGTACTTAGCTGACAAAGTTTGCCTTAAAGATGAAGATCAACCTAGTGAGGTAGACACCGTTCCGAACATGCCCAGCAGGGGGAGCCCTGCACTGCAGCTTCCAAGCCCTTGGAGCAACAGGCCCACAGCCTAGAAACAAGCACTGGTGCTCACTCACAGAGCGGGTTCTTAACAGAAGCAGGTGAAAATGTCCAGAGCTCAGATGTGACTACCCAGTCACAAGGTGGGCAGACAGAGCCCTTCCCCGCGGAGTTTGGGCTGCAGGTGGACCTACATGGAGATCCCAAACTCGAATGTGCTGGACACATCCTCAAGGCTGTGATCATGAGGAGTTGGCTGATTCTGGCTTGTGTCCCATTCAAGCACGGAACTACAAAACCAGGTCCATTCCTGCTGTCCCTCCCAACACTGGAGAGGCTGAGGCAGGAGGATCAAAAGTTCAAGGCTGGACGTGACTACAGAGCTAGGCTGTCTCAATTCTGAACAAAATGGCTGGTGGTCTGCATGCTTGTTGGTGGCTACCAGAGGCCTCTCTCACTCCCCATTTCTATGTAAGTTTGGGGATCATGATGATAAACATTCCTATAGCTTTAGAGACAAACTTTCTCAGTGCTCATTACAGCTTACTTCCAATGGACCCGCAGCCCCAACCAAACCATGAACTCCTTCCCTTCCCGCTAACTGTGCCCTTTCCTAGAATATTTTATAGTTATAGTCCCAGCACGTTCTGTTGCATGTTTTAGACTCTCAACACAATGTTGAAGGGACTCCTATTGCACACAGTTGAATCATTTTGATTGCTGCATAGTTTTCCACTGTGTGGACATAGTATGGTATTTTTATCCACTCATCAGAGGATGTTAGGGTTTGGTGTTTGGGAACTCATAGTTTATATCTTTGTCTATTTTATTTTACTTTTTGGGTTTTTCGAGACAGGGTTTCTCTGTGGCTTTAGAGACTGTCCTGGAACTAGCTCTTGTAGACCAGGCTGGTCTCGAACTCAGATCTGCCTGCCTCTGCCTCCTGAGTGCTAGGATTAAAGGGATTGTCTCTTCTATGTGAAGAGACACCATGACCACAGCAACTCTTTTTTTGGGGGGGGGGTTCAAGACAGGGTTTCTCTGAGTAGCCCTGGAACTTAACTGTAGTAAGAGTTTTTTCTCTTTTCGGGTCTTGCCATCCAAATCCCAAGTAAATCACGAGGACTTATTTTTAGTTATGAATGCCCAGGCTTAGCTTGACTTGTTTCTAGCCAGCTTTTGGTGGCTGTCCCCTAATGGCCCCCTCTCCTTGTTCTCTTGCTCTTCTATTTTTCCTCTCTGCCAGCCAGCCCCATCCATCCTTGCTTCTGCCTTAATATTGGCTGGCTGTTCAGCTCTTATAGGTGATCATGTGTTTTAGACAGGCACAGTAACACAGCTTCACAGACAAATGCAGCATAAACAAAGTCATACACCTTAGATAATATTCTACCATAACTTTGTAGACCAGGCTGGCCTAGAATTTGGTAATCCACCTGCATTTGCCTCCCAAGTGCTGGAATTAAAGATGTGCACCACCATTGCCCAGCTTTCTGACAACTATAAAAGAAACACTTCATTGGAAGCCTTACAGTTTCAGAGGTTTAGTCTATTACCTCCATGGCAGTGTTTTGGCAGACATGGTGCTGGAGAAGGGGCTGAGAGTTAATTCATTTTGATTCTCAGGCAACAACAAGGGAACTGACATTGAGTGTATATGAGTCCTTTAACCCACCTCCACAGTGACACACTAACTCCAGCAAGATGATACCTAGCCCAACAAAGCCACACCTCCGAATAGTTCCACACCCTATGAGCTTATGGGGGCTAATTATATTTTAATTTTTTGAATTTTTTTGAGGTGGTTTCTCTGTGTAGCTTTGTAGAACCTGCCTCTGCCTCTGCCTCTACCTCCCAAGTGCTGGGATCAAAGGCATGCACCACCCCTGCCCTGCTATATTTAAATTTATAATGTATATGATATAATATCCTTTGCAATATATAAATACATTCCAACATTGTATACTAGCACATATGTATGGGAGTTTTTCCTACAGGTATATTTGGGCACCAATTTTCTGCCTTGTGTCATGTGGTGGAGGCATCAGATCCCCTATGGCTGGAATTACAGATGGTTGTGAGCCACCTGTGGGTGCTGGAATGAAATCCAAGTTCTCTGCAAGAGCAGCCAGTGCTGTTAACCTCTGAGCAGTCTTCCAGACAACTTTATTATTTATGTGTGTAAGTATTTTGTCTGCATGTATGTCTGTGAACCACTTCTATTCTTGATGCCTGTGGAGGCCAGAAGTGAGTGTCAGAGCCCCTGGAACTGGAGTTGTGCATGGTTGTTAACTGCTAGTCCGTATATTTTTTAAAAAAATTTAAATATGACCTCATTTGGTAGCTCAGGCTGGCCTCAACCAACAGTCCTCTGGCCTTGACATGTCGGGTGCTAGACTGCAGCTGTGAACAACCATTCACAGTTTCATGTAGCCCTGAGTGACCTGGAACTTTCTGTGTAAACCAGGCTGGCCTCGATCTCACAGAGATCCACCTATTTCTACTCCTGCCTGAGTTCTGAGATGAAAGGTGTGCTACTATGTGGGTCTGGCTAATCCTAGCTCTTTTTTTCTTTATGGAAAGTTTATTGACGGGTAGGTAAGAAAATAAGGGAAGAAAAGAGAAGAGATAAGAGACAGAGACAGAGGGGGACAGAGAGAGAGAGCTGCCTCCTCAGAGGACCGAAGAGAGGGAGAGGTGGAGAAAGAGAGATGGAGGGAAAAAAAGTGGGGGGCAGGACAGACACGGATCTGTCCGCCTGAGACAGATACAGAGAGAGCTAATCCTAGCTCTTATAATAAAAATTTTATTATTGTCAGTGTATGAGTCACAGTGGGTATGTAGAGGTCAGAGGTCAATTTTTGTAATGTATTCTACCTTTGGAACCCTGAAAGGGTTCAAGGGATTACATTAGTTCATCAGTCTTGTGAGGCAAATTCTTTTCACTCAATGAACCATCTCAATGCCTCCATCCCCTTGCCTTGTAAGGCGCCATGTGGTCTTGCCTAATCCTGACTTTAAGAAATAACTGGTTGACTTTGAAATCTTCATCCTCCTGCCTCAGCTTTCCAGTTCAGAGTATTTGTTGTAGGGACAAGAACTTAATAAACTCAGACAATTATGAAGGATGCTGTCAGCCTTATTTGCTTCAAGTCATTGTATGAAGAAATCTTAATTTCTATTGAGTAGATAATGCCCAGGTGAGCAGCTGTGTCATAGGGTGAGTACATCGGCCCCCCATCTGAACTATCTTTTAGGATGGAGGAAAAGTTCTCAGGTTTCACTGTTCTTCATGTGATGGCTGTTAATATGCTCATTTAGGTATGTATTTTTGTCTGGAAATATCCCAATTCTCCTGCAACAGACAAGCAGGTCTAATTAATCCAGACAATAGAATACTATTTAGCAAAAAAAAAGAAACAAGGGATGGACACATGGCTCAGCAGTTAAGAGTACTTATAGAGGACACGTGTTTAGTGTCCTGTCCCAGGGAATCTAATGCCTTCTTCTGACATCTTCAGACACCAGACACACATGTGGTGCATAGATGGAGTTTCAGGCATAGCACTCATGCACATAAAATCAAACCAAATAGCCAGGCGGTGGTGGTGGTGCAAGTCTTTAATCACTCAGGAGGCAGCAGACGTCTGATGGATGGATTATCTGTCTTCTTAAGTCATCAGGGCGGGCGGACGGGCTTCTTGAAGGTCTCAGTCTCTAACGCCCACCCATAGGCATTCAGCACCACGCGACCCTGGACAGCTCCAGGCAGTAACTCCTTCCGGAACCATGACTGCCAGTCCACGTTTCCTGTCAGAACCATTTGGTAGATGCACTCATCGCTCAGCCGGAGAAAACTGCTTTCCGGAGCCGGTAGGCGTTGCAGAATGATTGGCGACAGGAGGAACCAATAGTATCTAGGTTCTGTGGAGCGGCGCTGACAATGTCCAATAGACGCTGGCGTGGGCGGGGCGTGGGCAGCC